CATATCTACCTTAACTGTCACTCAAGCCCTGCAGTTCAGTTGCCATCTTTCCAGTTGAAGGTTGAGTGGGATTCATTTTGGATCCCACCATCAAAGCTTCTTTGGTCAGGAGTAGCTGTTGCCCGCAAAGTTAGACTTGCTAAGGTGAACGTCTCTGGCATTTGGCAACGTGTATATGCACCTCCCACATGCAAGTTATGAAGATGGCTGATATTTTAAAAACAGCACTCCATATTAAAATCCAAGTTAAAGAGCTAGATTACTTACTGGCTTGGTAATGGGTTGCAGAGCTCTTCACCACTGAGTCACTGGTTTTAATAGAGCCCGGCAGAGCCCAAAAGTTATTACTAGTTTGTGGAAATTGTTGTGTTTTTCAACTAATACTTCATCCTTTCTTTATTGGAATTTCATAATTTTTCTACCAGCTCTATGTCTAGCTGAAAAATCCAACAACTTTTCATGAAGATTTTCATCAAATTTCAACTCACTTTTTGTCAATCTGAATTAAAAATTTAATGAAAATTGCTCCCTTGGATGTCTTTTACCAGCCATAGTTACTAGCATATGATGGGGGCATGGTAACAAGTGTGAAATGACTCGCTGGTCTGTTAATTTACTAGTGGGCAGGTACCTCTCTCGGTGCTTCTGTTTGCACTATTAGGGAAAGAAAGATGTTAAGGCCCAGACTTTACCCTCCCACACCCCAGGTCTGGGTAGAAGCACACTCATAGGCAGTATAGAAAAGTTTGCACTGCCATTGTCTGTGCATAATTCGTGGGTATGGCTGTCCGGCACCTTTCATCAGCACTGAAACTCAAATTCCTAGAGAGACAAACGTTTGGCCATAAAATTACTGAAGGGGCAGCCCACTGTTCTGCATATTCACTCTGGTTCCAGACTTGCTGGAAATGCGGTGGGAGGGAATATTTAGTGTAATTAAATAACTACCTTCTGGCTGATCTAGATGATGTACTAAAGGGAGTCCCCTTCCAGTCTTCTATTGAAAAGTCTGGGCCTGTGGAGAAAGAAATAAAGTTCTTTGAGGGGCATGGACTCTCAGGAAGAAAGCTCAGGGATAAGAGGTATTATGGCTGAGTTCTTGCAGAGACTTACTTCTCAGGTATCCCTGTGTGGTACAGTTAGAATGGGAAATGTGGTGGGCAGGCGTTTTCTGGAGATCACTTTAGAACTTGCTGCTGAGTAAGGCTGTGTCTACACTACAGAGCCTAGCTTGGCGTAAACCCCCAGTGTAGACTGAGTATGCTGACAGGACTTTTTCTGTCAGTGGTGGAACCAACTCCCTGAACGACAGTAGTTATGCCAACGGAAGCACTCATCTATAGGCATAGCTGCATCTATGCTCAGGTTTTGCTGACATAGCTATGTTGGTCCGGGGGGGTGGGGTTGGGGTGTCAGCCTTGCCTAACAAAGCTGTCAATGTAAGTTTTAAGTGTAGACCTAAGTTGACTTTGTTTCTTTCTCTTTCTATGCAGGAGCAGTAGAACAATGTCCTTGTGGCAAAATTTTTTCTTGGAATCATTGTGGAAGAAAACCTTTTTGTAACAGAGGTTTCTAGATTTGCAACATTTTGATGAAGACTTTTCTGTTTGTTTGTGAAACACTAGTTGTAGGATAATCTAAACTGAACTTTTCTAAGAATCAGGAACAATTAGTAATGTACTAAACTTATGGACATGCTGGTAATTTTTTGTTTCCAAATTTGTAAAAACTCCGGGATTCTTTTTGGAAAGAAGCCAGAGAATTACAGGCACCAAAACGCACCCCAGAGCTGTGACATTTCAACATGTGGTTTTTTGTGTGTTTTTTTTTTTTTCTTTTTAGTTTTCAATCTTTTCTGTTGCAACAGAAAGAGTGGCTTGGAAGTCTTAGGTGGTATGTAACAAATCCTAAAAAAAAAAAATTTTAAACAGTATTTAAATATTCTTAAATATGTAAATTCATTAAATGTTTTACTTCTAATTTCTTGTATCTTGGCTGTCTTTTTGATTTTATTGCATTTTTTAAAAAACTGAACTATGGTATGTATTGTAATTAATTAATTATGTGAATTCTGTATTGAGACACTTACTGTTTTGCTGTCAGGCAAGTGGGGGGGAGGTATTTTGTAGGGTTTGTATAATTTCTAGAGTTCTAAAGGGTAATATAAAAATGTGTTAATTTTTTTAGCAATACATTTTTTCATGTCTCCATTGCTGGTTGCATTTATGTATCTAAGACCTCCAAGCTTGTTTAAAGAAAAAAAACAAAAAAAACCCTTCCTCTATGCTCTCAGAAATATAAATACTGTTATTTTTAATATTAAAATGAATCTGCTATTAGTACCTTTAACAAACACTGTGGAACATTAAACCATATAAAAAGTAGTAACTATTTTTTAATTCCAGGGTGTTTTTTGCTTTTTTCATTTTTCTTTTTAAATATTTTCTTATCTAATATTTGTCAAATTACCTAGAGAAATAAATGAATCTAGTATTAACCACAGTATGCGCTAAATAATTTTGATTTAATAAAAGGGATAATATGATTTCCAATGTTTACTGTAGTGTTTCTTGTACAGATAACAGTGTATTTTTAAAGGAAAAAACGGAATTGAAGCTATTTTTTCTTGCATTTTTAATTGACCTGCGGGACATTCCGTTTTGAAATGTACTGAAGTTACTGTTCTTGGGTTCTTTCCTTATTTTTCCTTATAATGCTTGAAATGTCTAACTCTAAAGAAACACCATTGGATAATGTTGAGCATGATGTTAAAAAAAGTGTTCTTTTTATTTGACTGACAGTTGCATTTTACACTCTATATAATAAAATTTCCACAAGATGTCTTGTGGGTGAAGTATTTTTAGTCTGCTTTACTCCGTTTGCTCACTCTCCTCTGAAAGTAACTCTAGTGAGCGTGAGCTAACTGCTTTTACCTCAACAAGCTCCATCTCGGCCTGCATACCTGGCACGGATCGCATCAACTTAGCTCCAAACGATTTCCTGTTAATGGTTTTGGATAATGCCATTACGTTGACTTGAGAGCCTTAATTCCAGTCAGACTCTTAATGTCATATGGATGTGTCTTTTGAAATAATGGGGCACGAAGGAGTTCCACAATAAGGTATTCTAAATGTAAATGCCTATGGCCGGAGAGATCTATTTAATAAAGGGAAGTTTTCTATAAACAGGAATGATCCAGAAGGTTTGTCTACACCTGCGTAAACAGTTATTGCTTGTTAGTGCATTAGCAGAGCTTGTTTTATAATCTCCTTAACTTGTTGCTCTTCTCCCAAAACGTTGTCCTCAGTGCTAGGAAGTGGAATATTTTAGCTTACGTTTGCGCTCCTGATAGTGTCGCTACTCGGCACCAGGTCATTGGAGCAATGCCATCCTCCCTTACAAAAAGGAGTTTGAGTCCCTGGGAAATAATGGATATTATGGGATAGCAATGTACGTTAACCATTGAACGACCTCTTCCTCTCAGGAATCACGTGGACAGGGAAACTTTCTCTAGCTGCAACCAACCCAGACTGGGCTGAATCACTTGCGAGAAATCCCTTTTTTATGTGAGGTTCATGCCCCACAACTTAAATAAAGCTTTGTCCACCCTACTGCCCTCTCAAACACCCAGGCATCTGTAGCGGAGTTGGTGAGGGTTTGGGTGGTGGTGGGGGGGGGTAAAAAGAGATCCCATCTGTAAAGCAGTGACTCGGAGGCGTGTAGAGAGCCGGAAGAAAAGAGACTAGAGCATCTTTAAATACACCTCCAGAGAATCAAGAGAGACGTTGAAAGATGGACTAGTAAAAGCCACTTGGAAAGAGGAGGGGGGGGGAACTGCAGGAGGAGGGCATAAACACTGATGATGGGAATGGGAATTGGGGAGAGGGCATTACCGAGAAGACTTCCTTCTAATTCATCTTCCAAGCTCTGTGCCAAAACAGCATTTGGCCTGGTTCACAGGGAGCAATTGTGTGATAATGAACCCTAAGGTGTCCATTAATTGAAGACTGAGTATTGCGGATTGTGCCAAGAGTCATAAATGGCACAGGATTGTGGGAGGATGCATTTTCTTAAATGTATCTGTAAGTACAGATTAGCGAGTCTCCCCAGTGAAATACCCATACTATAAATTATGGAAATCTATCCTTCTGATGCAACCTTTTATTGAGGGGGTGGGGCAGCAAGAGAAATAGTTTGCAAGCCTTTGAAATTCGGCCTGTCATTAAGATGGCGCCTGCAAAGCTGGTTTTTCATCAGCAGTCTGGTGTCCTGGAAGGCTAAAGTGCTTGAAATGTTACCAAGTGCAGCAGTGGTCTTCCATTATTGCTGCATGGTCATCCGTGAAAGGGACGCTTAGTGCAGGAGCAATTGAACGTGTTTGGTCATAAATTGGAGTTTCTCCTGCTCGGTATCAGCCCTACAGATGCAGGCACTTGGGTAGGGCAGCCAGAAAAGTCTAGAGTTTAGTTTCCAGTAGGAATTGCGGGTGCTCAGCACCCTTCCCAATCAGACCCAGGAGTCTAGAAGAGGCATACGCTTTGCCTAGGGCAGCAAAAACCCTACAGCAAATGCTTCTCCAATCCTTCATCCAATTCTTTTCTCGAGGCTCAATTTTTGTATATAGCGCAGGGTTCTGTGGCTGCAGAATCTGCTGGAAGATGCTTCACAATGAAGCTTTTGTCTTTCAATTTTAAAGTTCGTCTTCTCATGCTTGCAAAGAACTTGGAAACCAGGACGTGTGAACTGAGGCAGTGCTTTCTTCTTGACGCTCCAGCCTCTGGACTTCAGAGCACATGCGTGAATTGCCCCCTCCATCTCAATGGAAGTTAACTTGGACACCTAGAGAAGATTTAAAGGTCCATTTAAACTGTTTCACTGCTGATGATTTTAGCAGAATGAATTTCTCCCATGATCCCATATGGCACTGGGTGAGGCATGGAAGGCCAAGTCTCAAATATCCTTCCGACTTCTCCCAGGCTTTCAGGCCTTGTTGCTACAAAATCTCATGAGAATGAAACAGATCAGTGCGAAACCCAATGCAAAGGTGATTGACATCCATGTGGGCTTCCTGTTGTACTAGAACTCTTCAAATGTTCATGCAGTTGGTGCCGTCTTTGTCTGCTACCTCAATGCCATCTCCTGAGTTCTTGCCCTTCTTCCCATGACCTCTCATGGGTGTTTCACCCTATGTAACCACCCTTCCAGCGGGGACGGGCAGCTTAAAGCCTTGGGGATGCTGACTCCATGGAACTTTGGTCTGGCCCAGGCAGTGCGCTCTCTGGGTTGCTCTGTGCCAGGAGAGGTGTTAAGGTGACTGTTGTGGCTCTAAGGGGTTGGTGGTTGAAGGAACTGTTTGGATCTTGTGCTTGGCATGAGGAGTTGAGGACATGGGTGTCGGGCTTTGGCTTGTTCTTTAGGATCTTTTTCTGGGCTGTGGAGGTGGAACCAATAGTGGTCTGAAGGGATCCTACATAATCTGCCCTTCCAAAGGTGGGGAGCTGCATCTGCTTTGCAGGCGAACCCTAAACAACCCAGCTAGGCCTGTGTGGGTTAAACCCCTTGGCTAAGGACGGGGGGAGAGTTGGAGCTAGAACCTGTGTTTTATCCCAAGGGTGATGCTCTGGCCATGAGACTGCTTCCTTTCACACCTCCCCCTTTCCTGTCCTCCGTAAGAGATGCTTGGTTAAACTGTGACCCACCAGTGGCTCCATCCTTCCTCTTTATTCCCCCTTTCTTTAACTCCTCGGAACAAAGGGCTGTGATGGGTGACAAATGCAAGATGCTTTCCGGACTGGAATTGCCCACTGTAGTTCACTAGCCATTGGCTGCCCTTGAGGGTTGTGGGGTGTGTGTGTGTGTGTGTATGTATGTGTGTACGTACACCGGGTGCCAGAGGTGGTTGTTGCCCGACAGTCTACAACATGGGGAGTGACAAAAGAGAAGTGGGGGGACTGGCCCAAGTGATGAGTGGGGCCTGATTTGAAGAGCTGAGCATTCGAAGTCTCTGGGAGCTGCAGTAGCTCTGGCAGGCAGGCCCTGGGTTTGTAAATGTTCTTTATATTAAAGCTTTACCAGGTGGTGGGATTGTTTGGGGGGTTTTTTTTCTTTGCAGGGGCAGGTGGCTGTTGGTGCTGAACAGGTGGGGGGACTAGTTGGAGTAAAAGCGGGGAGGAGGATGAAAGTAAAGGGACAGGGAAACTAAGGCAGCTGAGGAGGGAGGGACTGGGGTGAGGGGAAGTGTTCCATGCAAACAATACTTTAATGCAAAGTTAGAGACCGCTTCCACTTGAAAATCACCTCTCTCTCCGAAAACTCTGTGCCTGCTTCAGGTACACGCGACACCTGCGCTAGCTGGAACGGAAAGATTAGAGGGGGGGTCATGCTGCTTTTTCAGTGGGTTTGCATTTTTCAGCACTCTAGGTAGAGTTGGCTTCCCCTGTTGTCAGGCATTTTTCTCCATTGCCAAAAAGACACTGCCAGAAAGAGCAGAAAACCCCTTATGAAAACACTGAATATTTTTAATTTCAGAAAATACTATTTTGGAGGGGCTGCATCAGGAGCTGGGATTTCTAACTAATCGTTTTAAAAAGAAATTGAAGTTGTGGCCTTCTGAGGTGACCTCGTTAGGACATGAAAATTCAGGCAGCAAAATTTTTAACTTGAGGTTTACTTCTGCCTTTTTGTGTTCATGGTCTCACAATCCGTCTTTAAATCCTCTCAGACCTCCTCTCAAACACACTTGCCTACAACTTTGGATACAGATAGATGCGTAGCATCTTTTAATGTGTATTTTCATTCTTCCACTAAATCAACTCCCATAATAATGTAGCTTTAGTGACGGACCTTTTCATGAGTTCAGTTTACTCTCCAGTACTCATTTGCGAGCTATGTGTATTAAGCTGTCTGTATCCTATTTTACTTTTTCTTGGCGTACCGGTACATTTTTAAATGAAAACTTATTGCAAGCTTTCTGCAAACTCTTGGAGAAATAATCTTGTATAACTTTGCTAAAATGTCTTGCTAGGTTAATGATTACCCAATTGGTCTTCTGGATTGTGCTCTAGGTACAGCGGATCGTACCATGCAAATCTATTTGGGTGTACTCCCAGCTATTTTAAAATAGTTTCTTTAATTTTGCATGACTTGAAAATGAAACCTATTTCTAACCGTGCAGGTTCAAATGAAAAGATGATTGTCTTTTTCCATAAGCAGGTACGTTTTATCCCCCAAATACTAAATATTTAATTGCATTAGAAGAACAGTGTTTACAATAAGCTGTATCAGTGAAGCATAAGTGGGTTGATGAACTCTTTCAATAACTGCATGTTTACGACAACACAAGTTCCTTGGCTCTCTTACTGCGCTGCTTCTCTAGTGTGGTGCTAAAATGGTTGTGTATGTCCCATAGCAATGGTTTAGATGTACTGAGATGAAAATACTGTAAAGTGCTGTGTGTATCTAGGGCTGTAGAAAACAGACTGTCTGATCATGTAACTCCAGCTTGTATTGTTGTTCCTGCATGTGAGGAGATGATGGAATTGAGTTAAACATCAACTTTCATATTTCCTGACTTGAATGATTTAACTTGACTGATCACAATTTTGGTTTTGTATGGAGGTTTGTTTGTTTTTTAATGACGAGCCTAGTTTTCAGAGGCTTAGCCGACCCGATCATGTCATAGGGTAAAGCCCAGTTGTTCTCAAGATTTGTGTGCAAGAAAAGGCCGCCTATGCTTTTCCTTCAGCCCCTGAATTTTCCATGCTCTCCGAACTCTGCCAAAGGGAATTTGCTCCAACTTTTCACCAAAATTCTCTTCTGGGTAAAAACGAAGCACCGGAAAACATAGGCTCAGAAAGA